ACATTGAACCAATCAAAACTCGAAGTAATTACATGTGGCTGACGCAAAGCGCGGGAAAATGCATGCGAGCGCGTCACAATTGGCTTTGGTTTTACTTCTGATTGGATGAAAAGGTGGCGCGAATCTTTTAAGCCAATCGCATCGTGTAGAAAGTGCAAAACCAATTACTTTTCGACACTCAAATGAAAACCGCTCTAAAAACCGATGATAAAGTAATACGACGATAAAACTGCTGATATCAATCACTTAGCATACTCATGTTGAAGAGTAGCGCATAAGAACCCTTAAAACCACTGTAGCTCAGTGATGACAAGACTAAATAGATTCCTCACATAAATTAAACAGAAAAGATTACAAGAACGACGTTGCAAATTGATAACCAAAACTAAGCTCTATAATTCCTATGATGAAATCGATACTGAAAAAACTAAAAAGAAAAGGAAAACTATACTCACTTTGGTTTACACACACCGCCAGTGTTATCGTGAATCAACAAAAGCTAAGCTGAACTTGATAGTTGATGAGCACGAGTGAAGATAGAAATGAAGCCCCAATGACTGACAGAAGTTAACACCATGAAGTCTACACTAGAACTAAACTAACTAAGATGAAAACGCTAAATTTGTAATAAAGAAAACGTGCTTGGAAACGATCTAGAAATTATTACGTTATTCCCAGGAGGACAGAACGAAAAAGGGCTGGGAAAGTAGCCGTGGGCTTATCAATAAAAATCATCATTTATGTAGGCGATAATCGATTTATAAAAACTACCGTAAGCACGTTCGTGCACCGATAAGGGATAACGAAGAGAAATCACGTTTCAAAACCAACACAGGGGAAGAGTTCCTTGGGTGCTATCAACCCCATTCCTCAACTCGGAGGGAAACCCCTTCCATACAAATCCAACATCCATCACTGGTGTCCTTTATAAACAAAGGTGGTTATCCCAGTAGACCCTGGTTTAAAAACGCATTATTTATTTGCATGTGCTTTAATATTTACATTGTTTTTTGTTGTCATTCGTTTACAGCTCTATCTTGCCTCAACAAGTAAGGTATCCCTGGCAAGTAAGACTGCCTCACTCCTGGGGGTGGATGTGCCGCCCGGTTCTCTAAAAGATTAAAAAATGTCATCTTTCACACCCGTTTTCAGACCTGGCCTCTAAAATCCATACCCATTCTCAGACCTGGTCGGGATTATGTCATCATTACATAGATTAGAACAGCAACAAAAAACATTTCTTAAAGTCCATTTCGAATTCGCATATTTCTCTCTCTTTCTTACTCATTTGGAATTGAAACAATGAATACGTTCGTACACTACCGTTGTTCCCTTGAAAAACATACCCGATTCCAGACAAAAATGAGCAAAGTCTTAACCTGAGATCAGGCCCAATTTTAGCGGTTCTCATACATTCTCTCTAACGGCTATCGCTAAAATTGGCAATTTTCGTTTCGCCTTGCCCGCCGGAATGTTATTTACAAAGCGAAACGAAAATTGAGCCTGATCTCAGGTTAACAAAGTCTATACCCGTTTTCAGACCAAACCGGCGCAAAAACCCTACCCTTTGGTGCAGCACATACCTATATGGCTTATATAGGGGAGTACCCCCCCCCCCCCCCCCCCCCCCCCCCACCCCCCCCCCCCCCCCCCCCCCCCCCCCCCCGCCCAACCCAAACCACCCTACACCCTTTTATCAACCCATTTATACTTCTCACACTAATTCACATACTTTTTATTTTTTTTTCTTTCACTTTTT